CAAAAAAAAAAAAAAAAAAAAAAGAGTTATTTCCACTTGGACTCTCACTGACCCTTTTCTTGAAGGTACCACTGTTCTGATAGTAAACTGAAGTTCAGCTCTTATTTGCATTTATATTTTTCACATTTTGAAAGGAAGCCTGTTTTTTCTCATGCTAGAATACAGGGGAATACTATTGGTGGATTTTTTTTTCTCTCCAAACACTGATTTTGTAAAATTAAGTTTAAGAAAATTAAGTTTAAGAACAAGTAATGTGACCAGGTGTGGCAGCTCATGCCTATAATCCCAGCACTCAGGGAGGCCAAGGCAGGAGGATTGCTTGACCCCAGTAGTTCAAGACCAGCCTGGGAAACATAGTGAGACCATGTCTCCATTTTAAAAAATCAAAAAATTAGCTGAGTGTGGCTGTGCATGTAGTTCCATCTGCTAGAAAGGCTGAGGTGAAAGGATGACCTGAGCCCAGCAGGTCGAGGTTGCAGTGAGCTGTGGTCATGCCACTGTATGACAGAGAGAGACCCAGGCTCAAAAAAAAAAAACCAACCCTAAACAGGTAATGTGTCTTTTTACTGGTAATCAACTCTGAAATAAAAGGCACACATTTTCCTACAGAATTATAGCTATAAGATTAGACAGATTTATGTGACGTCATAGAGATTTGGAGGGTCACACTCAGGCAACAGGGCATCTACTACTCACCTTATAATTTCTTAGCCACTAATGAGATTATGTCATTGACAGATCCATTGTCTCCGAAGCTGAGACCCACTAGCTAATATCCCAGCTGCCAGATATGCTGGCTCCCACATGTAGGCTCAGCACTTGGAGAGGCTGAGGTGGGAGGGGCACTTGAGGCCAGGAGTTCGAGACCAGACTAGGCAATATAGCAAGATCCCATCTCTACTATATGTGTGTATCTCCACAGGCACTTGGGGAGAGAAAGCTGAGGGTGGGGAATTTATTTAAAACCATATTCCGCAACCTATGTTATGTGTCTTCTAATAAATGGTAAAAATGCCTTGGAATCTAGGATTCCAACATGTTTGCTCTCTTCCTTAGATTTCTCTAAGAAGTATTGGGTTTAGGGTCTCCCCATCTTTCTGTTAAATTTTTTTCGGAGAAATTCTGAACATACATCCCTTTCCTGTGTTGATCCTTGGTTTGGCTTTCTGTGTTCCGCTTTGCTGAAAGTTTCACTCTGTGAACTGGACACTTAAGATTCATGCACTTTCCTACACATGACACTTCAGCTGCGAGTATATATTTTAATGCATATAAGAAATCCTCTGAGGATTATTTCTAGCTGGTAGGACTAGTGTAAGAAGATTTCTATTTCTTACTTTTGCTTAGTATTAGGATTTTTAATAAGAAGCATTTTCTCTGAAAAATAAAAGAACAAGTTTTATAGAAAAGGAAGAAAGTTGGCTGGGCTCAGTGGTTCAGGCTGTAATCCCGGCACTTTAGGGGGGCCGAGGCGAGTGGATTGCCTGAGCCCGTGGGTTTGAGACCAGCCCGGGCAACCTGGCGAGACCTCGTCTCTACAATAAAATTTTTTAAAATGAGCCAGCAGTGGTAGTGTGCACTTGTAGTTTTGGCTATTTGGAAGGCTGAGGCAGAAGGATTGCTGGAGCCTAGTGGGTTGACGCTGGGGTGGCCCTGAGCGTGCCACTGCACTCCAGCCTGGGCGACGGAGTGAGACTTCAACTCAAAAAAAAGAAAAGAAAAAGAAAAGGAAGAAAGTTATGCTAAAATCATTAGTTTTGATGGGGAACCACTATCATCTCTCAGGGTCAGCATCGTGGAGTTTAACCTGAGCCCTAGTTCAAACCCTTCTATCCTGTCCTTGCTACCTCACCTGCACTGTTCTTCCCACAGTCTCTGATCCCATCCACCTTCTCTTCCAACGTCTGCACAACAGCCCACTTTGGGACGTTTTAAATCTTGCGTCCAGGAAGCATCTCAACTCAAACTAATCATCAGTTTCTGAGAATGAATAGTGTTATAGAGAGAGCAAGTACTTAAGTAAAAAAATGAGATGGCAGCCAGGTGTGGTGGCTCACGCCTATAATCCCAGCACTTTGGGAGGGATTGCCTGAGTCCAGGGATTCGAGACCAGCCTGGGGAACTTGGCGAGACCTCGTCTCTACAATAAATCAAAAAATTAGCCAGGTGTGGTGGCACGTACCTGTGGTTCCAGCTACTTGGAAGGCTGAGGCAGAAGGATCGCCTGAGCCCAGCAGCTCAAGGCTGCAGTGGCTGTGAGTGTGCCACTGCACTCCAGCCTGGGTGACAAAGTAAGACTCCTACTCAAAAAAAAAAAAAAAAAGCCAAATTGTAGTCAGCTTGGTTCGGGGTGCATGTTTCCTTTTTTTCCTGAGCATGTCACACTTTGATGACTGATACCCATTCTCCTGCATCCTGGCTATTCACAACCACCCATCATTTGTGGCCAGCCTTAGGGTCTTGTTTTCACAGCAGCATTGTGTTGTGATCTGGTAAACGCATTGGACACAGGTCCACCAAGAATAGCCCTGCCATAATTGTTTCTGGTGCCCTAAAGCCCAGGCCTGCCTGCATGCCACTGACTCGACTGACCTCTGCTTTGTCTTGTATGTTCCAGGCTCTAAAAGAGATAGACGAAGTGGGGGACCTTTTGCAGCTCAAGTACTCCCGTCGGCGGCTGGTGCCTCTGCTGGACAGGCCCTTTGATGAGACCACATACGAAGAGACAGAAGACTGAGCCTTTCTGGTGCTCCTGTAGAGGAACTCACCCCCCTACCACCACCACCACCCCAGGACAGGCTGTGGCCTTCTGAGCCCATTCCAGGAACCACATGCGCGTGGCCATCTCATGGGAAAGACACATCCTCGACTACTGAAGGTGGCCACCTCCGCTCAAAATGGCATTTTGTAAATAGTAAAAAACTGCTTCACATGCTAAATCTCACCTTGACAGACGAAGGTGACTCACTTTGCTTTCTTTGTCCATTAAAAAATGTTTTATTTTATAGCTATTCTACTTGTGAAATCACACTGACCCTAGCCTGTCTCTGGCTGCCCACACAGGCCACACCCTCTTCCAGCCTCCTTGCAGATGTGGGCCCATCAGGCCCTGCCACTGGCCCTGGCTACACAGCCTTGAGACTCGCTGGCCTCCTCCCTCGGGAGCAAGTGCCTTCCACCTACTTCCATCCAGGCCTCTGGGGGCCTATTAACCAGCCAAGTCATCAGCCAGGGTATTTGCCCTTGAATCTTAAGTTTAGGTTTTCAAGGAAAACTGTAAACAACAGCACTGCAGAAAGGCTCATTTGCAAGTCCCTGGCCAAGGGCCTCCCAAGACTTTGGTCTCACCTCCATTCTGTTCTGGTCACTGGGTGATTTCTTCCTTCACCATCCAGTATTTCTTCAGAATTGCCACAGTCCCAGGGCATGTCCACATTCTGGGATCTTTCTAGACTCTACCCCGAACACATCCCAATCCCGTTTGAAACACGTGTTTTTTGTTTGTTTTTGTTTGTGTGTGTGTGTGTGAGAAAGCAGGATTTATTGAGAGGAAAAAGCTCCTACACTAGAAGGGACCCGAAGGGGTTGCCCGAAACATGTGTTGTTTTACAAGTGCCCGCATCCTACCCGTGTTGTTTTACAAGCGCCCAATCCTCCCTGATGACAGTGATTGTCATCTCACTGTTCTGGGACAGAGCGGCTCTGTTGCAGGCCGACAGGGGAGGCGTGCGGCATGTGGAGGGAGCGGACTGCTCCCTGCAGAGGGTCTGTGGCCTGGGTCTCACGGCCTCCACTTGGCAGAATGGTGACAGCCTGTGGCTGGGGCTGGGTCCAGGTTAGGATTTCAACTGAGGAAGAAAGATGTTTCTGCTCGGAAATCATTTACCGTGTTCCTAGGCATGAATGAGAGTTACTAACTTAGCCTTTAAATGCTGGCCCACTTCAGGATTGCCTCTCTGAATACTAGTTCTCTTTTATTCTCAATGGTCTAACACAGTTTGACCTGGCATCTGGACCTAGGGATCTCCCTGTCCTTCCATTATTCATTTTTATTTTTCTGAGAAATTCTGAACACAGATCTCTTTCCTAAACTGGGATCCTCTGTGTTGGCTTTGTCTTCATGCTATAACCAAGTAAAGGGACTTCTTTCCAAGAGCTTTACACTGCTTGAACCAAAGAACAAATCTAAAAGTCATCATTTTAAAGGACTCATTTTTTTCTGTTGAACCAAAGTTTAATTGAAGAGAAACCTTTGGCTGTGTTATACCCAGGAGCAGCTTGTCATCAGAGTGGAAAAACAATGTGTGAAAGTCGTATGTGTCTCTGTCTTTGAACTTGCGCCTTTCATTGGTAAAGAACCTCAGTCCACATTCTCCTGGGCATCTTGTCATCAGCTGTGGTATGCTTGTGCAGATACATGTGTTGGTGACGTTTTGTTTTCATGTCTTAAATGTGAGTTATCTTTGGTCACTCTCAGCATCTGAGAGCTTTAAGGCCTTGAGATATTCCAAAATTGTACTTTTTTGAAGAACCGGAAAGGATGAATAAAATCACCAAGGAGAGAGGCAGGGACTGTGTTTAGCATGTGTGAGTTAAAGTTAGAAAGAGATGATGATGTTAATAAGTAACTAGTCCTGTAAAGTCCAATGCATTGCTCACCTCTCCTGCACATCTAGTTCCCCACCATAGAACCCACTGGATCATCAGCTAGCTTTTGCACTGCAGCTACTAGTTAATGGTATAGGTGTAGGGTTTGCAAAAGTCACAAACTTTAAGCAACGAACTTACTTGCTAGTTTTTTTATTTTTGCTTGCATGAAGTCACTGCAAATTAAAATGTTTGTTAGTACGGGCATTTAAATATTCAGATATATCACTTTGTGGGTGCAAAGCTATTAAGTTACAAGTTTACTCTGAAGAGACAAAATGATTGTGATCTATCCAGGATCTCTGTACTCTATAGAGGACAAAATGTTAGGCTGGTTGTCTCTTCTCGAAACTGTAATATAAAACTTAGGGTCCAGGCCTATCTTAGGTATCATGATCTATCCAAGTACTCGGGGAAATCAAGTGTATATAAATAGTCATTGGGAATGAGTAAAATCTGGGACTGTTTGGTAGACAGGTCACCGTGGCCCAATGCACGAACCTGATGGGGTTCAAAAGGGGGCTGTTGCCCTTTCCCACCGAAGCTGGTCACTGAGTCGGTCAGCATGGATGACTGAGCCTTACCTCTTTCTCATTCCTCTCTGTTTGGCACTACCTCGATCCATTTCAGGCTTATGAGACCTCTTTTAGCACCTCTTGTGAGAATCCGGGACATTTCTAGCCAGGGACATCAAAATAATACACAGAGAGGCCACATGGCAGTGGCCACACCTCCTCCCGACTTTAATTTAAAAGCTTTAGCCTAGGGGGAGCATGGACTTCGGAGCACTTTTTAAACTTTTTGCTTTGCTTTGGAAAAGAAATTCTTACCTTTAAAAAGAGATTTCTCATCTCCAGAACTCCAAAGTACTGCTTGTTTGTTTGAGAATCCCACCATCTTGGTCACGATCTCAGACTGTCCTAAGGGTGAGGATTTCAGATGGTTAGAGCAGGGTGCCTCTGCAGCTGTCATAAAAGGTGAACAAAAACTCCATACGGTGGGCCATGTGTTCGCACCTTCCAGAGGCCAAGGAATGGCACCCACTCCCGTGATGTGTCTTTGAGATGTCTCCCTCCTTGATTTCTTGGCTTGTCTTTCTTTCTGTACCTTCCAGTTCTTGATCTTAGAATCCCAACTCCAGAGAAGACTGATGTGTGGAGGTGCTGGGCTTCGAGGCCTAGCAGGGTAGACGTCCTGCTTCTCTGCACACTCAGCTTTGCACATCAGGAGGAGGTAGGGAACTTTCTATTTCTTCCCTACTTTTTCTTGACTAGGTCAGCCTGGCTGAATTCTCTAGTGTATAATACACATTTTTTCCTCCCTCTTAGTGAAAACTAGGAGAAAGAATGGTTTCTACGGAGAGATTTCCTGACTTCTCAGGGAAGGAAAAAAAAAAACCAGGTCATCTAATACCCCCTCCCTGTTTTTCTTCATAATTGACAAGGATCTCTGGTCCGGAGGAGGCAGGATTGGGCAATGGAGAGAGGGAATGTGGGGAATTCTCTTTCATGAGAACGTTTGGGGTTGTGGCAGATCTGTCTAAGGCAAGGTCAATACCGTTGTTCTCTTGTCTAAAGAATTGCTGTGACCTCATTTCCAGTGTTCTTCCTCATCCGGTGTTCTAGGTAAGCTAGGCTGGGTTTTAATCTCTGCTTGCTGTAACCATGTGCTTTGAAAAAGAGGGAGAGGAGTGGTTTGTTGTCTACATTCATGAAAACCAAGAATTGCTAGGAGCCTGGTGTGGTGACATCTGCCTGTAAGTTAGAAAGAGTTGAGCTTTGCACACAGGTAAAATCAGGTTAGCCCAAAGTGGTTGTGAAGCAGGGAAGTATGAAAATCAAGGGTTCTTTTCGGCTACTGCGCCAAGAACCTGTAGGTTTGGAGTTGGTTTGTTTTTGCGATCTCAGACCCTATGGATATGCTGCTACCTGCTTAACACGGATGCTCAGTGCCCAGCAGGCACCTTAATCCTTTAAGCCAGTTAATCAAAATACCTTCCATGTGGAGAGAGACATGGCCCTTTCTCTTTGCAGCTCTGTCCACGTGAAGTGTGTGCCCAGGCAGATAGCCAAATTGGAGGGTGGCTTCTCCCTCAGGACACAGAAAAATTGTCAGGACTAGCCATTGATCCTTTAGCTTTAATTGTATAGAAAGTGCTGTTGTTCCTTTTGTCATTTCCAGTGACTTTTGTTTTTCAGCACCTGTTGCTGTAGATCGAGACTTTCGGCTTTCAGCCGAAGTCCCTAATAAAAATGTTTATTCTGGCAGGGCTCAGTGGCTCATGCCTGTTATCCCAGCACTTTGGGAGGCTGAGGCAGGAGAATCGCTTGGGCCCAGGAGTTCTAGGCCAGCCTGGGCAACACAGCAAAACTTCGTCTCCACAAGATCAAAAAATGAGCTTAATGTGGTGACTCACACCTGCAGTCCCAGCTACTTGAGAAGCTGAGGCAGAAGGATCACCTGAGCCCAGGAAGTTGAGGCTGTGGTGAGCCATGATCGTGCCACTACACTCCAGCCTGGGTGACAGAGTGAGGCCCTGACTCAAAAAAAGCAAAAGAAAATGTTTCTTCTGGTCTCTGGTGTCTGGAGCACCACACCCACAGTCCACCCGTGGGACAGGTGTGGCCCTGGTTTGGTTTACTATGTTGTACACGTGCTAAACCGCCTTCAACTGTGATTCTTTCTGGTATGATACGTTATAACAAACTGACCCTAAAGAATGCAGGGGCTCTTAGCCTGCAGTCACCATGATTTTTGTGAACCCATCCCCAGAGCTCTGTCCTGGAGCAGCCACGGGGAGGCTGAGTGACGGTCTGAGGAAGAGCTGCCCTCGTTTTGTGCTTTCTAGGCGTCGAGTCTTGTGGCCGTAGTGAATTCTCTGTGCACAGGGACAGTCAAGCCACAATTCCCAGGGTTCTCGTGCGAAGCTGGCCGCTCAGCCCAGGCCTTCCAAGAGGGTGAGGTCCTATCACAGACAAGGGTGGGGCGGTGTCTTCACCCTTGGCAGGAAGTCTTGTCACTTCTGTGATGTGAAGCCAACGGCTGGAATTCAAAGATGCATCCTCACGGGTTTCACAGCACGCAGGACCCCCTGTCCCCGCAGCCAGTGTGCCCACAGTCTTGATGATCCCTCTCTGCACAGAGGCAGCTAACATGAAGAGAAGGGGGAAGAGACAGGGTCACACGTGGGCCTGGCTTGGGAGAGAGCTGAGGTCTTTTTTGTGGGTCTGCATCTTTTCACCGACCAAGTTCCCCATAAACTGGAATTTGCGCGGGGTGCTGTGTCACTAACCCCTTTCCTTGCTGTGATGTTTTTGTAACCTGGGAAAGTGAGAGCAGGGGAAGTGTAAATAAAAGTTTATGAATCGTAGTAATATGTTGAAACGCCCCTCTCCTTCCCTGGCTCTCCCTTTGCCAGATGATGGTTTTTTATTTTATACTTGATTGGATGACTGTGATGCTGCCTGTGGTGGGCGGTGGCAGGTGCACCCATTTGTGAAGGGGCACTTCCTGAGACGGCTTCAGAACCATGCCCTGCTCATGTGTTGCTTTGCTCTAATAAAATACTCTGAGAGCTACACCTGCTTGTATTCATTCACCCAATCAACAGCACTGTCTCTGTGGCAGGCGGTACGCTGAGCTTTACAGCAATGAACAAGGAGATAAGGATCCTACTTTCCAGGATGCAAACATGTACATGAACATACATGTCATTTTACAGGCATCTTACATTTTACATGTCATTTTACAGTGCTGTGGAGGAAAAGTGAAGAGCCAGCCTCTAGTCTAGACAGGTGAAACGGCAAATATTTTGGAGGAAGTAGAGGGTCTGAAGGAATGTGTGGTTGGAGCTCAGAATGGGAGAGTGAGGAGGGCTCTGGGCTTGGTGGGTCTTGGGGAGGGCGCCA